ACCCTTGGCCTCAGAGTCAGGGGTGGGGGGTCGGCGGAAAGGACGCGCTGGTAGTGGGGTGGTTGCAGAGACGGAGGCTGGAGAGTGGCGACGCCCTCCCCCGGTGCGCACGGGTTCGAGTCCAACCCTGGCGTTTCCCCGGAAGCCCTGGGCCCTAGGGCTGTGGCCCGGGTCGAAATCTGGCGGAAGAAGGGGAGGGGCAACGCCTCTCCGAGAAGCCAGTGAACTTTTTGTTCTGGCGACAAGAAGCGGCTGGGCTGGTGGCCTTTACGCACAGGCGCGCGCGAGTCCGGGAGCTCCGGGCTTATGAGCCGCGCCCAGGAGGAAAAGGCAGAAACCAACCGAGGGGCCATTTATCACCCCACTGTCCCCGCACCTGGCTCGGCAGGGTCGCGCCGCGGTGCCTGGGGACGCGAGTGTGAAGGATCGAACAGAATCGAACGCGTCTTTATGGGAAGGCGCGGGCTCAGAAAACTAGTGGCTCTGACCCTGCCCTTTGAAACCGCAGGGCCTTCGGTTTTCCGGGGTACAGAGAGGGTGCCTTTGTCTGGGGTCTCATCAGGCGCCCCCTCCCCTGAAGTCTGCACTCCCCCTGAGGTCTTTGCTTTAAACGCGATGTATGCGGCTCGGTGACTCTGGACGCGTCGCCAGTCAGTGAGGCAGACGCGCTAGCACCCGACCCGCCGAAATCCCCCCACCCCACCTGGGAAGCTCTTCCCGCCCGTGCCAGAGTCCCCAGATCCCGAACACAAGTGGGCAGAAGTGGACAGGCTCAGTTACGTGGGCGCCGTCTGGTGTGGGAACCTCGGGCACCCTCCCCTCCTTCCCTGGCGCCCAGGGCCACGCGCCTTTCCCCACGCCCCGGGGGCCGGCTGCGTTGCTCGCCCGCCGGCCTCCAAATCCCGCCCGGCTCGCGTGGCTGGTTATCTTCGCTGAACAAGAGGGAGCGTCTGCAGGACACACGGCCAGGCTAATCGTTTTTAAATAATTAATGCCTCCCCGTTCCGCTGGTAATGCGCGGCCTCGAATCCGTCAATTACTTGTCATTAGACGTGTGTAACTCCATGGCCTTCCCTCGGTCCTCCGACGGCGCCAGGTCACCTAGCCCAGCCCGCCCCCTGGCCGAATGAAAGAAAGGGGCCCAGCCAGGTGGGAAGTAGCCGCGGCCTTTAATTCCAGGCGAGTTTTGAAAGACAGACCTGCGCTGGAAAGATGTAATCTTCCAAAGGGCCAATTTAAACTCCAACTTTTATCACCCACCTACTGCCTTTTCCAAGCTTTAAAAAGAAAAGCCAGTCCACCGGCTTCGGGGGCCTTTTAATGTGGGGGTGGGGAGAAGAGACTGGAGAGAGAAGGCGCGGTAGGGCAGGGGTGGGGTGTTGGCTGGGAAGGTACCTGCGGGTACCTCGGGTAACTGGCT